TCTTCTTCCCGGGCAGGTTTAACGGTGATTTATGTTGCCAGCAGGGTCGTTAGCGAGTTGCCTAATTAAAGTCATTTCGCTCGGCGGAGGCCGGAAAGCTGCAAAACTGCCTGCACGGGAAATTCCCACGGTCCTGCGTCTTATCCTTGGTCAAACAACGAACACAATCCGCCGAACCGACAAAAGAACTTCTTCGCCGCAACGAACTGGTCGCGTATCCAGAACAAGACTTGGGAATCATGTTGGTACCGCGAAGAATCCTACCTTCAACCTACTTTCAACAATGAAGAGATCATTATCTTCTTAAGGACCCGGTCGATCAACTTGATGACCGTTGCCCACCTAATGCGCCCTGGACACGAGATTCTCGGACCATTATAATGATCGGGACCTACAAATGATTCACCGCCAACACTTACTTTTTCTTTTCTTCCTTCAACCCCTCGAGAATGACACGGATTTCTCAGTTTCTTTCAACCATTTCGCATTCTGATTTCTGTGTTATAAGTATCAGCATAGTTTGTCGATAATTTAGACTTTCCTTGTATCCGTTTTTAATTTTACAAAGTGGAGTAGATAATTATTGAATAATGAGACAAATAGAAATAAATGCGCTTAGGATAGTATCCTGTACCGATTTTATTCTTGAAATCTTAACCTCTTGTTCTATGATTTCTTTCTGTGGTTGAAAAAATTACTTTATTCACGATCATTTATTACAAAAAGAAAAGAATTTGATACTTATTCTATGTGTACGTTTACCCTAAAGGAATTGATAATAGAAAAATAATGTTTCATTTGTATTCAAAAATAAGTAAATAACATTTAGATATATCGATTTTAGTTTAAAATTTTCATCGCGAGTCTAATATTATAAGACAAGAGGTTAATCTTTTTCCTTCCCCTTTCAACGTTTCAACAACCCCGTTTGATCGCACGTGGGAAACAAACAGAAGCTTTCCGTGTTGCGTATATCCCGAAAATTTTGATTTGAACAAACATGCGTAGATTATATCAACGATGATCGAGACTTACAAATGTTTCGTCTCACTCGTTCTTCTTTCTTCAACGTTCCGTTCCATTAAGCACATTCAATTGCAAATGGCTAGCAAATATAGAAACACTTTGTGATCCGTGTATCGCAGTAATTTTGATTTATCGATAATGATCACTCACAAATGTTATATTGTACACATTTTCGTTTTCCTGTCTTTATTGTAGTTTCCTTCTTCTTCAATCTTCCATCAACCGCATTCAATCGCAAATGACCAGCAAATGTAGAAGCACTCCCTGTTTGGTGTATCGCGATAATTTTGATTCGGCTGGGCATGTCAAGTGGCAATTGTTCGCCTATTCGAATGATTTCGCAATCCGGGAATAATTTGCTATTCGATGATCGAAAACCGGACATGTTGCCGTATCAACACCCACCGCGATATCATTTCGAGGCATCGAAAGCCCTCGACTATGCAAAGCCGCTTTGAAAGTTTCTAAACTATTTGACGCTCGCCGCCTCTGCGCCACAGCAAATACCAGAGCGCACTCGAAACCCGTTTCGGCCTCGAAATCCGCTTTCGATATTTCGCAACGATTTTGAACTGTTCCGCCTCGATCAATTTCAATCGCAATACCAGAATTTCAATTTCGATTTTCGAGTATCGGGCAACCATTTTCTGCCTGCCCTTTTATCCCTATATCGGTAATATCAATATGTCGATATTAAACGTCTCGTTACGAAACATTATCAACGAAATCGAAATAGAATAAGAACACCCTCATTGTCTGCCTACACCGATACGAATAATTCTCTTTTAGCAAAGCACCTGCACTGAATAACATTCTGTGTCGGCAAGTATCTGTTTTTCAGAATGAACATTCCAGTATGAAAAATGGATAGATGTTAGATGATATTGATTTTTGAAAATTAGTACGAGAAAATATTACTCCTCCTTTGACCTGTGTAAATCTAATTTTTTAAATCTATGATTGCTTTACTAAGTGCTCTAAATTGATAATTAAAGAGTCATATCTTTGATAAAACCTTATATACTTATTAAAACATTATGCAAGGGTAATATATTCAATTGAATCACAACGTACTTTTGTTTTTGTTTTAAAATCTAAGTGGTATTTGTCTTATATTTATGATTTACAGTTCAATATTGTTCAATTAAACTATTGATGTAAAACTTATTTTTAGTAGTACCTACAGATTTAATTTTTGGAATTCACCAAGTTGTTTTTAAGTAAACAGAATAAATATAATTAAAGAAACTTTATTCATTAACAGTCATTGAAAGTATGCTCTTTAAT